CCAACCCTGTCTCCTCGGGGTTTTCCGAGTCCAGAGATTAGCGCCACCTGAGCAGGTTGACCGTTCCTCCCGCCCCCCTCCCGAGGAGGCCTTGGTCCCCAGAGACCACTCCTCCCTCAGCCACTCTCTGCAGCCCCTCCTGCTGGACAGCTCACCGGAGACTTTGGGTGCCCGTCATTTGCGTGTGCGCTCATGTCACAGGCTCCGTTGAGGAGGTGGAACTGCTGTATTTGTGTTAACAGATGAACTGCATCCCCAGAACCCCTCTCTGAGACCACACCTCGCCACGGCTTTGTGACAAGAGGCGTGCCATCTGGGAATCCCTGGTTATTTCCTTAACAAGCGTATTGTCACCGGGGGCACCTAGCAGACACCCTCCCTGTGGATCTGGAGTCACACGTCACCTGCGGGTGGGCAAAGGTGGTGGCCAACGCACTGGTCAGAAGCCGAGTCTGAGGCGAGCGCCTGCGTTCCTGTTAGAGGGCATCTGTTCGCCTCCTAATTCGGCGAAAGTGACCATTCACTCGCGGTACACAGACAATTCCACTTCTAAGGTGAAACAGCTTGAAAGAGCATATTAAAATCAGTCTCCAGTGTTTTCAACGCTGCCTGGCCAGGAGTCCCTGGTGGAAGGCGAACCGCCCGGCCCCACCCTGACACGGACCCATGAAGGCTCAGAGGGCCTGAGTCTGCGGCGGAGCCAGCTTCCCAGCTCCCAGACAGGCCTGGGTGATGTCCTCGCTGGGCGCCACCTGCCTCTCCCCTGGAAAATGCCGCTAATTAGAAGCTCTCAGAAAAATGGAAATAAAGGGAGGGCAGGGAGGAGGGGGCTGGGGGTCTGTCCTGAGAGCCCACGCTCCTGCCCAGGGCCGCCTGGCGCCCCCCAGAGGTCCTCCTCCCAGCTCCGCTGGCCTGCGCAGGGCGTGTCCTCCGCTGCATGGACTCCGGGCAGAGCCAGGGATGAAGCTGTGTTCTGAGGTCAAGAGTGCTCCCTGGGAGCAGCTTGTCCTGCAGGGCAGGGTGGCCGTGGAAAAGACAAATGGAAGAGTGCTTCTTGTGTCCATCTCGAGGCGTTGTCTCCCCACCTCCCTTACAGCTGGTCCAGAGCGCGGAGCCACAGTAAGATGCCACCAGAAACGTCCCTCGTTTGATGACAACTCTGGAGTCATCCCAACGTTCCCTCTATAAGAGGGATGGGCAGACACCAACGTGTGCTCATCACGAGCTTCCAAGATGGCCTGTCCCTAACACAGGGCTGCCAGCTTTTCAGAGAGTCACATTCGCCTTTTTGGCACCTTAAGCCCCAGCAAGACATGGGGCAGTGAGGGGGTACTTGCAGGGTCTGAGGTCTGCCCCCCCAGGCCAACCTCCAGGCCTGAGGGCGTCTTTTGTTTCTGTGCCAGAACATGCTTCACACAGCGCCCGGACAGTCCCCGGGAGGCGCTTCCTGAAGCAAGGCCCCTGGCACCATCAGGCACGTCGTAATGCATGGAGAGAGCCAGGCGGCCAGTCCCTCCAAGCCCCAGGGGACTACATTCTACTCCTCAGGCTCTAGCACGTGGTCAGCAAGAACCTTCAGCAGTTCGCCCTCAGACACGACCTGGAGCATCCTTCCACCCTGAACTTGGACTGTGCATCCAGCACACCAGACACAGACGCCTGCCTGGGCAGCTCCGGCCCACCTTGCCGCGTCACCGCGCCCACAGTGACTCCTCCTGGCGTTCCTCACTTGCACTGCCGAGGTCAGCACCGGGTGCCACCCAGAGCACATCCTCCGTAGTTGCCTCACACAGACCCCCAGGGGCAGCCATGGGGCCAGGCTCCACCGCCTGCCAGGCCTCCGACTCCTGCTCGCCGGCAAGGTGCCCTTCCGGGAACGCCCACCCTCACGGAAGTCCAGACCCAATGCCTCACAGAAGGGACAGTCAAGGGAGACCTGTGGCTACTGACGCTGGACAGAGCAGCACTTCTCACCTCTCGATGGTTGCTGTCACCCTACAGGGCGGTCTCCAGGAAGTCTTAGTACTAGCTACAAGCAGCCCTCGTGACAGTAACCGGGACTGATTTTGAGTATGGCTTTGAAGAGTAGTTTGGGAGGTTTCTTCCTGTGACAGAATTCATGCCTGTGGCGTGAACGATGGTGCCCATGTCTCCTCTCCATTCGCCACGTGTCCAGCATGGCAGAGCCCAGGGGTAAGTGCCCACGGCGGACCAGGCAGGCTTGCTGCCACCCAGAGGCAAGCTTGCAGGTCACTATGCACCTGCCTTGGTCGCCTGGAAATCGGACGACTTGAGCAAGGGCTGTGCAGGGCACAAGGAGGCAGGAAGCAGTGCGTCAAACACCCACTACTGTGCAGCCGCGCATGGCCACTGGGTGGTCGGGTGTTTTCCAATGCACTAAGACTTAGGATGAGTCTGTGCTGAAAAATGGTGAATTCTCCTTCTCCCGAGGTTAGAAGAAATAGTCATTTAATGCTGCCCAAGCGAGTCTGCAGATCATGGATGTTTTCACTCACGAGCCTGCACAGAAGCCACCACAAACTCAAGAACAGGCGTGGCGGGCGCTGCGAGGCGGTGGAGGTGTTGCACCAGCCATGGGAAGTTCTGGAGACCTTCCTGCCCGCTGTAGGTCGTCTGTGCTGAGGCGCGGAACTACCCTGGCCCCAGGCCCAGCCCCGCGTGGGCTCCCGAGGCTGCTCCCCGCTCTGGAGCGGGTTGCAGGTTCCGCACAGAGGTAGGTGCAGAGGGGCTCACAGTGGACACTGCTCTCTGTCCTCTGGCTCCCACTGTGCAGCCTGATCTGAGTTAGTTTCCATTTTGCTCCACACTAAGCCCTTAATCTTAATTACAAACCCTTTTTGTGTTGGGGTTTGTAAAACCTGACTAGGAAACAGTTTGTTCAAGGTTATTTTAATGAAAAACATCTATCCAATGCAAATACTTCCAGAGAAATAAAGAATAATTTCTTGTTTTGATTTATAAAATTTAAAGGGGGGGGGGAGGATGTAACGTTTTTCTCCAAACAAGGTTTTTGTGTTGCAGAAGCAGCCCACACATCCTCAGTGTGAGTCAGCAGCTGATCTTCCAGGGACAGTCGGAGAGGCTACAGCCTCTGGAGAGAGACGCAGGAGCCAGCCATCTCGCCAGCACACCATCTCCCGCTGCGGCCTTTCCTGCAGGATGTTCCAGCACTGTAAATGTTCATTCTCCCCGTCACCCTCCTCCCTCCACGTGAGCACAGGACACAGAGGGTGTCCCCAACCCCACAGGCTGTGTGTCTCAGGACGCCTTTCCTGTGTGGTCACTTCCACCACCAATCACTCCCACCTCTCCATGATTCACATGTTACTGAGCTCAGGAAGGACCCCATCCCTTTGGTCCTTTCTCCTTCACATTCCTAGAGAGTCGCTAAACCTTCCTGGGCCTCCCCATGTCGCTCCCGCTTTGTACATGGTAACTGGCCAAGATTAGAAAATTCAGGTCCATGAAAATAAGGGCGAGCCACTCATAAGCCCACAACCAATCATATTGCCATGGATATTTGGGGCATGTCTGCCCTGAGGATTTTCTAAGTGCATGGGATGGTGTGTCTCCTTGTCCTTTAATACCTGCTCACGTTGGTTAATGTCATCAGGGTAACGCATTATATGTGACAATTTAAATACCCATCATTATCTCCAACAGTTGAAGACTAATTTTTTCGTACTAGGATTTAAACTCAGGGGCACTCAACCACTGAGCCACATCCCAGCCCTATTCTGTATTTTATTTAGAGGCAGGGTCTCACTGAGTTGCTTAGGTCCTTTTTGCTGAGGCTGGCTTTGAACTCCCGATCCTCCTGTCTCAGCCTCCCGAGCTGCTGGGATTACAGGCATGTGCCACAGCACCCGACAACTGAAGACTACTTTACTGCACGGCTGTGCGTGATGACGTTAACTGAATCCCAATACCTGAACACTGAAGTTCTTCCAAGACCCTCTCCTTGAACAATCCCAGAAAGCTCTGGACACATATTAAATGTTGCTTGTTGTTTTTCTTCCTTTGCAAAACAGTTTTATGTCCTGCAACCTGCTTCTCACATTTAAAAAATATATCATAAAAGACCTTCCAGAGAATTCTTTTAACAGTGTACAATATTCTATAGTGTAATACACTCTCTTGGTGCAACCTTTTTCTTGAGGATACTCTGGCTACTTCCTGGTGTTTGCCACACAAGTGTTGCTGCACATGGGTGCCCATCCACGTGTGCATGTCCATAGCATGAGGGGATGTGGGGTGCTGGGTGAACGGCAGGATTGCACTGTCAGTGGACTTGCAGAGTCACCTGTGCAGGTGTGCGTCCAGCACGGGGATCCAGGCTGCTCTGCCAGTTCTCAGGGACACTTGGTCGGACACACAAACCCCTCGTGTGCAGCTTACAGACAAAGCAAGTGCCCTCTAACAGGAACGCACTCCTGAGCCTCAAGGGGACATGTCCCAGAACAATGAGCTTTCTGCTGGGGTGGGAAGTCACTACAGGGGACAGAAAGTGAACTATTGCTGACAGCCACCACCTGACACCCAGTAGCTTAGAATAACTGCCATGGTCAGGTCCACGTGGCAGTGCAGGCTGGCCTCTGCCGGGGGAGCTTCTGGTCGGAGCTAGGTCCACTCACCTCTGCGTGGCCCGCTGGGTGCTCCACCTCTCTCCTCCTTAAGGACCCAAGAGACAGTAAGCAGAGCAACCTCCCCACAGAGGTCACAGCCTGCCCCTGTCACTTCAGCATGGTCCACAGCAGAGAGCAAGGGGGCCCCAGACCCAAAGGGCCAGAAGGGGACGGCCTCTTTCTGCAGGAGGAGTGCCCAGGTCGGGCGCCCAGGTCACACAGGAAGAGGCGGAGCCTTCTGCCTGCCAGCAGGGCCTGTGTGTGCAGTGCGTATTTTTCCCAGTTTCCAAAAAATTGCTTTTGTAGTGTGTTCACCAGGCTGTTGGGAAAATCACGGCTGTGTATGAGCATAAAGAAAGTGACATTTGTACAGAGACCTCCCAAACCTCTCTCAAGATGCCGAGGTACGCTTGGGGCACCACTCTATCGGGTGAGGTCTCTCTTTATTTTTAAAAGTAGAGTTTTCAGATAAGGAAATTAATCTCTATGGCCACTTTATTCCCATTATTTGTAACACCTTATATGGAGTTGCTGATTTATCACCCTTTATTGCTCTGCTTGTGAGCACTACAGCTATACAGGACACTACTGGGGGCTTTGTTTCTTTTTCCTCTTGGCATGTCTGTGACTTTCCATCTCCCACAACAAGCAAGCCGAGAGCAGGGCGGTGCAGGTCAGGAAAACGGCAGCCAGAAATCAAGCTCAGCGCGGTGGCTCCCTTCATGTGGCCCGCAGAGGAGGGCAGGTGGGGCCCAGGCCAGGGCAGGAGGGCGCCCACAGCCTGCAGGATGTCCCTGTGGCTGGGTGGAATGTGCGACCTCCATGTCTAGAAGCTGGCATGGATTGGGGACATGGGCTGAGGACAAGCAGACGGCTCTTTCCTGATTCTGCAGCTTGGTTCAGAAAGGACCTTAGTGAGCATGGGGTGTCAGCTAAGGTGGTCCTGGAAGGAAGGGGAGGCCCGCTGCGGCCTGCCTGAGGGTGGCCACTCCCTCTGCACCGCAGCACCTGCCGACACACCGCTGAGCGAGGCCAGGAGCCCCGGGAAGCGGGAGCCGAGCCCTCTGGAGCTTCCAGGCCAAGAGCACAAGCTCTGAGGTCGGAGAGGAACCTGCTTCCGTGGAAGGCTTCGCAGCCGTCTGCAGGACTCCCTGACCCAGGAGACAGGACACCAGGGAGGGGCTGTGTTCACTCAGGTAGGGAGGAAGCAGGTCGGTGATCTGTTTCCATGGTGACTGTTATGGAATAAGACAAACTGACACTGATTTATTCTCCTCAAGCTCTTTAAAATTCCACTTTAATTTGAGTTGGTTCTTTACTAAAGCAAAACCAAGTTTTCTCTCACAATAATTAGCATTGGCCACCTGCAAATGAGCTTTTTAAAAAATAATGACACCAAAACCATCGGAATTCATGCCAGATCAGCTTGTGAGTGTAAATTTGATGTGTATTTTACATACAGAATCTGTGTTCTGGATATCTGCAATTTAATCCTGATTCTTAAAGTAATATCAGTTCTTGCTGCACATGAGACTGCGAGATATCTATGTGCTGCGGGTGACCTTGGAAGCCACATCAGCAGGGCCTGTTTTATCAATGTGGACACTCAATCTGTCCTCCCGGGTGGAGCCCCCAGCTCCAGGTGTGGTCCATTTCATGGTGGTGATCACAGAACAGTGGGCATGAGTCTCGCGGGATTCCCACTCCCCCTCTCAGGAGAAGGCTGGGGATGTCCTACAGGGCGGTGCACAGAAGTCAGAGCTACCATGCATTCCTGGCTTAGCTCATAGAGAGGAGGAAGGCCCAGAGAAGCTTCTGGAAATCCCAAGGCCCCTGCTGGTTAAAGTGCAGCCTGTGGGCTTGTTTCGGTATCTCTATGCCGAGGGCCCCCAGGCAGGGCTCCTCAGTCTTCCCTTCCCCACCTCGGGGCTCCCCTGACAGTAGATCTCGCTCTCACCGGGAGGAAGCACCAAGGACTCTCACCAAGGAGCTGGAGTTCGATTCCAGTCCTGCGCTGAGGCCTCCTGGAGGTCACTGGTGTCTCTCGGCCACACCCACCACAGTTGCTGGGAGGATTAGGTGAGAAACGTGAGCTCAGAACTCGCTGATCTGAAGCCTTGCTGCCCCCGCCCCCCGTGAGTCACACTCTGCGTCCTGTGTTACAGAAAAATCCTCAAGAACAGAACATTTGAAACCGCTCTCCACGCGGTCTCCGTGACTTAAAACGGAAGGGTCATCACTTATTCCTTTCAAAGCCTCTTCGGGTCTGACTGGCGGCTGGGCGTGGTTGATGTAGGCCAGTTGGATCCATGTGCGCCAGCGAAGCCATCGCTTCGGTCCCTGCAGTGAGTACGGTCCCCCACATCCCCCGGCCCGGCCTGCGTCCCGCTGTTTCATCGTCCACTCTGTGATGACAACACTCGGCAACTTGTCCCTTCCACACTGTCAGGACCCCAGTGCGGCCCTGGGCTGGAGCTGTGTGGATGTCCAGGACTAGAGCTGACCTCTGGTCCCCGCCCCTCCCTGCCTCGTGATGTGGCGGTTCGGACCTTGTCTTGGCGTACTGGGGCTGGCGCGTCTGGCTTCTCCACGCTGCATCAAGGCCTCAAGGTCCCAGGTGACCAGGCTCTATGAGGCCTTTTAGACTGGGACGAGCACAGGCGTGTGCACAGCTGTGGACGAAGGCCAACCTTGGTGGCTTCTTTCACCAGCACGATGAGCCACCCAGCAGCGGGCGTCAGCATGAGGACTGCTGGAGTTTTCACCAGCCACAGGACCCTGGGATCCTGGACCACCTCCTTGGCTCAGCTCTTAACCTCTGGGAGGCCAAGGCACGAGGATCACAAATTCTGGGCCAGCCTCAGCAACTTAGTGAGAGCCTGTCTCAAAATAAAGAATTAAGAAGGTCTGGGGATGTGGCTCAGTGGTAAAGCACCCTAGGTTCAATCCTAAAAAACAATAACAAAACAACACCAAAAAAAAAAAATCACCTCTATAAACGCATCAGTTCTTAACCTTGTGGTGTGAAAATCAACTTTTTCCATTTGTTCCTGTGCAAGTCTGAGTGTGTATGAAAGAACATGTGTGTGTGTGAATCACAAGTGTGTTTATGTGTGGGAGTGTGCAAAGGTGTGTGACTTGAATGAGTGAGTGTATGTGAATGTGAGTGTGAGTGCCGGTGTGCACAGGGGGCAAGCCTGTGTCCCGAGTGTGGCTTGTGTGTTGGTGAACCCAGCCTAACTCCCGCGTAAGACTGGGAGCCATCTCGTCACGGAGTCATGAAATGTTCGTCTCTGTTTTACTGTAAAATACTGATTTCTATTTGGTCGGACCATGATTAGATGTTTTGAAAACTTGCTTGGGACTCCTGCTGTTGCCCGGCTCCTCCTGACCAGTAACCGCCCTGAAATCCCAGCTGCTCCTCGTTAGCTCTGACAACGGAGTCCGAGGCTGCGCCCCACCTTGAGATGTTAAGCCAGGCAGATCGCAAACCTCATCTGCCCTTGCCTTACGCGTGCCAGAGCCGGGACAGCTGTGGGATCCCAGGACACCCCCGTTCTGTGACCTTTGTGCTGTGAAAACTTCCTGTGACCAGGTCAGCTGCTGACCTCCTGGTAGGCAGCCGCTGGCCAGCGCTCTCGTGTGTGCACAATCTAAGCTTTAATTTGATTTAAATTGGAGTCAGGGGTCTTTTCTTTGCATCGTGGTCCAACAGTGAGTGTACAAATGTGTTTAAACACACGTATGTGGATAAGTGTGCACAAAAGCAGATGAAGGCTGAGTGCCTGTGTGTGTGTGCCCAAGAGTGTGTGAGCACCTGAGTGTGTGGCTGCGCATCCCTGACCGTGGGGTGTGAGCACACCCACGTGCTCTGAGGCCCTGAGATGCACATGGGTGGCGGGTTGACGGGTCTCTTGGGCTGCAGGGAGCCCTTCGGTGGGTCTTCTTTGCCCGTGTCTCCTCTGGCACTGCCTGGCTCTCGACCTCTCGGCAAGTTGGCCTTTCCTGACACCTTACAGGCACGTTGGTGGGAGACCAGGAAAGGGGGTTTGGGAGTGCGAAGGGAGGCGGGGCTTTCTGGCTAGATCGAGCCACACCTGCTCTGCTCCAGGCCGGCCTCCACCTGCCAGTGCTGTGTCACAGATGCACTCTCCTGTGCCTGGGCAGTAAGCGCTTTCCCCCAGCAACCCAACAAAAGGCCCGGAGCTGGCCCATCAGCAGGAGGAGTCCACACGGAGGACCCTGGCCCACAGCTGAAGCTGGTTCCCACGTTGAGAACCAACACTGTCCACCGCCTGGGGCTGGCGCTCCCTCCCCACTTCCTGCAGTGGCACAGAGGGAGGCCCTGGCTTTGTTCCCTTGGAATGGCTCCGCGTTCAGAGTGGCCCCACTCTGCAGGGACAGCCCCTGCACGCTCACTGTGGGCCCATCTGTGGGCTGGGCACTGCCTACGTGAACCCAGGTCCTGGTGTCAGGGCTGGACCAAGCCTGGCAGTTCTGGTGACATCCCAGGCACAGCAGATGCTAAGTGGCTACACACAGCAACTTGTCGCTTCTGGTGCTACGTCAAATCTCTTACTAAAAAATCTCTATCGGAGAGTGAACTACTCATAAGGAGAGCCAAAGGATGGAGCCTGAGAACCGGAACGGAGATGGGGAGAATGTGCGGCTCCTGTAGACAAAAGGCCTGCCTGGAGCCAGTGCAGAGTCCTTTCCTGCTTGATTTTTTTACTAAGTTGGTTATAAATTCTGGAATTTTGTTATACAGCATTACAGCCACCCATGAACATACTAAGAATCATACCATGACCCTACACATCCACCCCCCAGCTTGAAAGAAATCAAAGCCGGCTCCCTCGGCCTCCCCGCAGCCCCCCTCCGGCCGAGCTGACCCAGGGGGAGCTCAGGCTGCCGACCTCCCTCCTCCAGTACTTTACAGTACAGCCAGGTAGCCACGCGACAAGTCGGTTTCGTATATTTCAGATTTCTGTGTGGCGAATAGCATGCGTGGTTTTGCTTTACAGATGGCTTCAACGTGGCTGTCCTGGAGCCAAGGCCGCCCTCGCCCTCATAGGTGAATGGCCATCGCAATGACACAGCACGACCTCTCTGTTCTCCTCGTCAGAGCGCCTAAATCATTATTTAGATGAAATTCTATTTTCAACCTGGTTTTGCTTCCATTTTCCCTGTTCCTCACAGAGACTTTTTCAGAAGAGACTCAGCTTAAGATATGCAAAGTTAATTAAAACAAAACCTGTTTTCCCAGGTATGAAGCTGATGCATGTCCATTTTGAACTAACTTCACATAAGTTCTATTCTCCGCCTGGGGTGACTGCTGGTGTCTCTCTTTCCAGGGCTTTCCCTGTACCTATTTATTACTCTTGACTGGCATAAGTCTCACGCTGCCAAAGAAACAATTTCCCTTGTCTTTAAAAATGCTCGAAAATATGGATTTTGGTGATTGTAAGGCATCCCCGGTGTGTTCCAATAAGTAAGGCCGTTTCCAAGTTTCACTCTTTCCCCATCGACAGATGTCTAGCAAGTTCTTACAGAGTCTGTAACTGGTGCTGTAGGCAAGGGCAGGTGCAGGGGTGTAGAGCAAGAGAGGCAAGAGCCCCTCCCTCGCTGCTGGGCTGCTGTAACTGAACACCGCAGCCCAACCTATGAGGCCGAGAGGCTACCTGCTCATGGCTGGGAGGTTCTGCATCTGGAAAGAAACTTTTTGTTGCAGGGACTCCCTATGAGTCCCGAGGTGGCTCAGGACATCGCATAGCAACAGAAGACCCCAGCTCAGCTCAGTTCTCTGCTGCTCCTCTGAAGCCACGGCCCAGGATGGGGGCCTACCTTTATGGCCTTATTTAAAAGGACCTACCTCCAAACATCACCCACTTCATTCCCCACAATGGGCTGACATTTCAACAGGTATTTTGGCAGGGACACTCAAACCCCAGCAAAGCCTGCAACAAGACAGCTAGGTACCAGAGAGACAGACCCTCCTGGCTAGGGAAGCCCTCCCTGGGAGCAGAGGATCGCAGGTCTGAGGTCAGGAGGCCGTGGCCAGGTGCCACACTGTGGTGCCACACTGTGGCTGGGGTTGGGCAGAGAGCAGGACGCAGGGTGGGTAGGCGTGAAGACAGAGGATGGTGGGCAACCCAGGTGCCCCACTTCAGTCCTCTCATGGGATGCCACCCCAAGTGCCGTAGCACCGGGTCCCGGGAAGGAAGGGAAGGAGTGGGCGCCTGCAGGATTGCCATGTGTTGAGGGGTGCAGTATCACCCGAGGTCCTGTTCTCACTACAAATGTGAGGACTGCTGCAGGACCCAGTGGGCTGGACACACAGCCAGGCTTGCTGGCCAAGCATCAGCCTGTGTTTTGCACCTGCTCAGGGGAGGGGCTGGGAAACCCCAGCTGAACACAGGGCCCTGTTCTCCTCCTCCTCCTCCTCCCGGTCTCCTATTTGCCCAGGTGATCCCAGACCTCTGCACTCAGCGACCCTCCTCCCTCAGCTTCCTGAGTAGCTGGAGGTACAGCTGCCATCACGCCCAACAAGAAACCATTTTTAATGTTTAAAAACATGCTAAGAAAAAATCACCTTTGCTATTTGAATTACACACATACATTTTTTAAAGAAAATATTTTTAGTTGTAGTTGCACATAATGACTTTACTTTTCTAATTTATTTTTTATGTGATGCTGAGGATGGAACCCAGTGCCTCACACGTCCTTGGCAAGCGCTCTACCACTGAGCCCAGCCCCAGCTCCACACATAAATATTTAGGGAAATGCTAAACAAGAACAAGGCAAGGAGGGCCGGGCCTGCAGGGCGCCATAAATTCACTGGGGGACAGGACAGGATTTAGTAAATGGGGAGAGACTTCATTAAATGAAGAGCCCACATTAAAAGAAATTCATTCTATCAAATCTATTTTTTTAAATGCATCGAAAAAATTGTAAAAGGACAAAAAGATTTTGGAGTTTTTTTTGAAGAAATAATATTCAAGAATATCCAGGAAAATTACTAGAAAAAAAGCCACTAAAATAATAACTATTTCTTCTGGAGGTGACTGGGCCGGTGGGGTGAACAGGGGCTGGGCTTCCCGCGAGCCCCAGACTTTACCCGCCCTGTCGGGGCCTCCGGACAGCAGTGAGCAGCCAAGGGGCCACAATGGCCAGCTGTGGCACCAGCAGGCGTAGGGGTGGGACTGGGACAGCTGGAGTTTGTAAAAGAACTAAAGATCAAAATAACATTTTAAATCAGATGCATGGCTAACACTGCAAGTAGGTACAGCCGTCTGGGCAGCCTCAGAAGTTGAATCCAAGAACCAGAGAATTAAAAATGAACACGGGGAGGCAGGGGCCACGCATGCAGGAGGGTGGGCGTCCACGGTGGCCCCATGAGGGACGCCCAGCGGACCACATCGCCTGACTCCCCAGAACAGCTTCCACGCCTGGGGAGGCAGAGCTGAGCAGGCCTGTGCCGCGATTCTCACCCGGCTCCCAGCCAGCGGGTGCCACCCCACCTGGGGGCCATTGTCCTGACAGCCGTGACTCCAGGGCCCACTCACGCTTCCTGCTTCCTCTGGCCAGGACAGAGGGGCGCATCCCCAATCCTTCACACCCACCCTGTTCTCCTGTGCTGGGGCTTTCCAGGGTGCTGGGGGACCGGCACCAGCCGGGGAAGGGTCTGTCTGTCCAGCAGGAGGTGGGCTGGGAGGAAGTGTCCTGGGTGTGTGACCTGCCGCGTGCTCGTGGTGGGTGGCGCCCAAGCTGAGGTCGAAGCCCACGAGTCGATGCACACCTGCCTGTGGGAGAGAAAGAGGGCTCGGCTCGGGGTCTTCCACCCACCACACACAGCAGCTACGGAGTCACACATGTGGGCGTGTGGCCATCCTCATCACCGGAGCCGCCTCCGAGGGGAGCCATCGGAAGTCAGGGTCCTCTAGGAAGGAGGCTGTGGTGTAGAGGCAGCCAAACAAAATTGACACTCGGGGCTGAGAGGGGCTGGTGGTCACCCCCGGGGCTCGGTATTCCCTTCTGGGTGGTGTGTGGCTAATATTGGCCTCTAGCTCCATCAAACGCTCTTAAAAAGCAAAGTAGAAGTTTGGGTTCTAGTCAAATTTGTAGGGCTTCTAGAACTTTCTGTTTCTAGTTGAATTGCTCATTTCCTCCCCTGTGCTCTCTGGGGAGGTGGGGACAGAACTGAGGTCAAAACACCAGGGATTTTGTGACCTGGCATCTTTCTGGGTGAGAAGTGTTCCTTTTCTTTGCAGTTACTTTTCCTTTTATAATAAAAGATAAGCAACACCTTCCCAACCTCACAGACCCATGGAGTCCCACTCCATAGATGGCTCAGTGCTGTGACACGGGGCCAGGCAGGTCTGGGGCTGGAAGATGGCTGGCTCGGAGGGCACCCCAGCACCTTGGGGTCATGTGTTCCCTGCACTGTGCAATGTGCCGTCCCCAGGTGAGGTCCCCTTGTGTAGTGCCTGTTTCTGCAGCTAAGCCAAAGCTTCCCTGCTGCACTTGTGCAGAACTTTATCAAAGAGGCCTTGCCTGAGAGCAATAAATCTTGTCTCTTGTTCCAAATGACATTTGCAACTTAAAAAGACAGGAAGTGAAGTTATTTACAGCTTCTCAGGACAGAATGGGGCCGACTCCGTAATGAGGAGATTCTGTAATAACCACACACAAGTGCAGATGCGTGCACCCTCCACGCCTGCCTCAGGCCAGGACCTGCCCAGGAAGCTCGTTTGGCAAATGGGGCTGCGAGGTGGACAGCGCCGGTCAGCACACATGGGGCAACACATGACGTTACTCCCAGCAATACCGTAACCCAGAAACAGGATTCTGTGCTGAAGGCCTCACCTGCCACCCACAAGGCTGAGCCCGGCGAGGACATGCAGTGTCACCACACCCCTCGCTCAAGCCCAGGTAGCCTCCTGATGTGCCTCCTGTCTGAAATGGAGCTCCGTGTTCTCCAAGCTTCTCTGGCCGCGTCCTCTGGAGTTTCCTGATTAAAGACACGTTCCTCCGAGCCCCAGAAACCCCACGAAGGAGGGTGGGACAGCCTTCTCCAGCTCCAGGCTGGTGCACAGGGGCTCGGTGTGCTGCCCCAGAAGCAGCGTGTGCCTGGAAGGTGGAGCCGTGGCGGGCATTTCCAGAGCTTTTTGTGTGCTCCCAGAGGTAACAAGATAGAAAGTGCACAGCAAGGCTCGCCCAGCGTCTGGGGCGCAGGGCAGACCCCAAGGAACGCCACAGAGCCCACCCGCCCCTCCCCTCTCTCAGCTGTTTTCACTTGGTGCCACTTACCCCAGTGCACCCCAGTGCACCCCAGCTGCACCCCAGCCAGGGAGGGACTCTATCCTGCACTTTCAGACCAAATCCCACAGGGTTCAAACTCAGTGACTTCTTGAGGTCCCTTGTCTTTCCTTCTTGCAATCTTTCGTCTCTATGTGGGCAGCTGGTAGGAGAGGAGGTGGGGAGAGTTCTCACTAAGTGTGAGTGATGCATGGCCCGTGGCCCGTGGCCCCTGGCCCAGGGCTGTCTGCTGGTAAAATAGAGCCTGTGGCCCAAGTGGGTTCAGGGCAGGGCTCCCTTACCTAGAGATCACGAGTCTTTGGGAATAGAGCAGACAAGTGGGGCCAGGTGGCTACTTTATCTGGCCAGGCCCCATCTCCACTGCTTGGCAATGATATGGAAATACAATTCTCTAGAGCTGTACTTTCCAGACTTTCAATGATGATTCCTATTGGATTAAAAAAAAAATCCAGGCAAATCATTGATTTTCTGTTTATATATGCACCACTGCTGTACTAATATACTTTGTTTACTACAGACGCATATATTTTAAAGTGTGTGATAAAAATAGGCAATCTTTTAAAACTATTTTATCTTAGTTTAAAAATGTTTTTGTTGTGATTCCAACTTGTTTTGTGTGCCAGCAGTTAGACTGCATATTCTTCTCACAAGCAAATTCAAGTCCACCAACTACTGGGGGAGCCAAGGGCATCCTGCTCCTGCCCTGGGGCGCCTGCTGTCTGCAGGGGCCTGCTCACCCGATGGGCCCACAGGGCAGGGGCCCCTGCACCAAGAGTGAAGGTGACAGTAATGCAGTGTCTCCTCTTGAGCCCCAGATACTCCTGTAGGCTTTGATCGCAGTACAAGGGCAACATTGAAAGCAGGGGTGTCAAGGAGCCAGGTTTTGTGCAATGGGACTTTTACAATTCCTGAGAGTAAATTTCTGAAGGGAATAAAACTTTAAAATATATATTGCAAAAATCTCTCAAAGCCAAAACCACTACTTGTCAATTTTTACACATTTATGACCCTGGAGACACAGGGACAGGCCCTGCCAGGGCCCTGGGTGGGGAACCCTAAGTGACCCATCACTCCTCAGGCAGAACCCATCTGCCCCTTGGCTGGGAGACAGAGTGGCATGGACCCTTAAGACACCACTTCTGCAATAAGTTGCTCAGTGAGCTAGACCATGCCTCTCCCGGACTCAGGGTCCTTGCTCTCAGGAGGGCTGTGAGTCGCCCTGTAGCATGGAGAGCTCCAGGGCTGGCTGCAGGAGATCAGTCTGGGAGGTGCAGGAGATCAGCCTGGGGGTGCAGGAGATCAGCCTGGGAGGTGCAGGCGATCAGGGATGGGAGGTGCAGGAGATCAGGGCTGGAGGTGCAGGAGATCAGGGATGGGAGATGCAGGAGATCAGGGCTGGAGGTGCAGGAGATCAGGGATGGAGGTGCAGGAGATCAGGGACGGGAGGTACAGGAGATCAGGGCTGGAGGTGCAGGAGATCAGGGATGGGAGGTGCAGGAGATCAGGGCTGGAAGTGCAGGAGATAAGCCTGGGGGGTG